ACCCTGCTCTAACAGGTCCAAGGATTGAAGGTCATCCCAACTTCCCAGCTAAAGCAAGCAGGCACCTATATTGGACAGCAGTGCTTTAGGAAAATGTTGGAGGTGGATGCTCTAGGTGACAACAGCAAATATGCCTTTTCTGTTAATTTCATACTATGTGGGAAAAGACAATGGTAAACCACTCCTGTAAGAAGACCATGTGGATAGACAAGATAAAGTGATTGATGGTATAGTACTGGATGATGGCCTCTCAGGGTGGATGGCAATCAACATGTGACTCAAGAATAGTTCACGTTATTTTGTGTTGGACTAATTGTGTTGATGATGGGACTAGATTAAAGCCTTCCAGTTGATTTGGTGGTAGCTACCCATCTTTAGAACTTCCTCTTCTACGAGTTACCTCTTTTCTAGCAGGCAAACATTTTTATTCAGGAGGGACTTTGTACTACATCATGGATGGGTGGCAATTATTGGGGTGGGAAGCTGTACTTAATGTTTTTTTGGCAGCAAAATATGGCTGTGATGGAAAGCGATAAGGATCATATCACCCATAGATAGGGCCAGGATTTTTTTATCCTTTTTCTGATTTCTTTTAAAAATCTTTATATTTTAATTTCCTGCTTGGAGCTGCATGTTGCCCATTCTGGTTTATCAGCTGATTTAGCTGCTGAACTCAGTGCATGCTGCCTGTTTTAATAATATTTTAATGTATTTATTTATGCATTTAATCTTTTTTTTTCTTTTTGGGGGTAGTCTTATTTATTATCCATCTTGAATTCCAGTCCTTGGTGGTAAGATAGATATAAATTAGTATTTAAAGACTGCCATGTGCAGACTCTTTATTCCTGTTTTTTCTCCTAATGCCCACATTTCTAAAGCCATTGAAAAAGTCTTAATTGAAGTACCTGAAGATGGAAGTGAAGCTGCAGGATCTACAAAGAAGGACACAACCACGTGTTTATTCAAACTATGGGATGCTGAGGGTCAAAGACCTATTGGCTATCCTCACCTGGTTTGGCCAGTTGGCCAAGACAGTTTACTGGGGTGTGGTCGCTGCACATGTTACAGCTACTTGGAGCTACAGGTGAGAGCTGAGCATGAGGTGGTCTAGCCCAAGGAACTCCAAGAGACAATGCCAATTCAGTCCAGCTATGTTTATTAGCTACAACCTCTAGCAAGAATCTCCCCAGCCTAAACCCCCAGTTCCCAAAGTCCTCCAGCCACAACAGTGTGAATACCTCAGGGAGGTGCTAGTCTCATCCTCTTGTTCCTCCCATGCGGTTCTGGTGAGCTAAGAAAATGGGCTTCATAATTCCACTCCATCACAGGTGGGGACCAAAGCTGAACAAGTAGCCCTAAAAACATCATGGCAGGCCTCTCCACCAGAGCTGCTACCCCTCCCTGGACAGCCCAAGCAGCCCACTGAAAAGGTCACATGCAACTATTAACCCTTCAGTGCTCACTCTGAAGGAAGTGGGTGCAGAAAAATGGAGCAGTTTTGATTTCTATTTCAATTCATCAGTGACTCATAGAACAAATCAAAAATAGAAAACAAAGTGTCTCTGCTCAGAAACGCAAAACACTACCTGAAGCAGCTCTGATGGCTTTCCTAAAGAGCCAGGATTTAGAGTTGATCCAAAGGATCAAGGTGATCCTCCCACGGGAGGACTCTCTGCAAAGTTGGTATCATTGCTCAAAAGCTCTTCTGATAGAACTGCTGGGTAAATGTATCTCTTTATATAGATTCTATATGTTTTCTGAAAATATGAAGAAGGAAATAATAACTGGCTCTTATTACAACCCTGTACTCTGCAAGATGTCTGAAGATAACCTATGGTGATCTTTTGGTGGTATACAACATTGGAGACAGATTTGGCACAGCTCTTGATAATTTGTAAATAATCTATGTGCATTAAACGTTTACAAATTTGGCTTTGTTTTTTCATTTCTTTGGCTGACAATCCAATGATCAACAGACAGACCATGTATACCTTTTATAACTAATTTCTCATCACCTTGGGGCATATTTGGAAGATAAGATTTTGTACCATTTTAAGGGGGGAAATTCACCATGTAATTTAAGAAATGGTTTCAGTTAAGATGAGATCTCTGTTTGGGTTATTTCTTTAGTCCTGCATTTGCCCTTGACCAATTGATTGTTTAGGCAGGACACATTGCTGCAAGGTGTGGGATTCTAAAAGTTAAAGCCCAGAGGATTTTAAGTTGTTGATGACTGCAATAATTAATGACTTATTCTCATCCAGACATATTGGAATACATTTAGCATTTCTCAGCAGTCTCCAGCAATATAAAATATGTCATCTTAAGGCTGAAATCCAATTCACCTTCCCCTTGAAATAATCCCCACTGGTCACAATGAAATTTATTCTTAAAGTAAGCATATAGGGAAGTGAGTTTTTACTCTGTGCAGAAACCTCATTGTGTATGTACAATGTATATAAATAGAGGAATCGGTTGTTTACATGCTGGTCCTTTTTTACACAAAATTGCACCATCCATACACAAGAAGATTCCAGCAGAGATGTAGGAATCACAGTGCTACATAAATACAAACAATATCCCTACAAAAATAATCTAATGTGAACCAAGCATATTTACTGGGGGGGAAAAGTACAGATCTGATTGTTGGGAGTGGGGAAAAACCTGAATATATAGAAAGCATAGATGAACAGGAACTCACCCTGAATTTTGCTGAATTTTCCATTTTGCTGAATTTTCCATTTGAAAGATCCCTTTTTTCAAAATGTATCACAATCTACAATCTATGAACAGAAGCTGCATCAGAGCACACAGATATATTGAGCTGTTGCTGTGCGATTTATTTATGATATGCAGAAGCCAATATTTTATACACCATGAATAGAATAGCATGAAAGCTGATTATTTCTTTGGGTGCACCAGGATGATAAACAGGCCTATTGATTTTGGGCTTACATGGAAGAAAAGGAACAAGAGACTGGCTGAGCTCATATTTATACTGGCTGAGTCCTACTTTGTTTTCTCTGTCCTCCAAGCCAAGATCTACTGCCAGAAGTCATTGGAAACTGGTAGAATAACCATAGTTACCTGTTCTAACCCACAGTGTTTACATAAGGAATGGTCTCTTGGATTGGCCAGACCAAATGTCTAGCTTGTAAAATAAGTTGTTTTTTTTAGTGTATAGTATGCAGAATGGCTAAGTGGCTACAACTATTCTCCTACACAGGAAGAGTATAGCTCTGGGTTTTTTGTTTTTCTGTTTTAACTTGGAACAAAGATTGGTAAAGGGAGACATATTAGAGGTATGTAAAATGTTATGGAAAATGTGGATAGAAAAAGATGCTTCCTCTCTCACAGTACACATTTCAACTGTTGAATTCACTGCCATTAGATGTGATTATCAGCTATCAATTTGGATGGACTTAAAGGGGTCTAAATAAACTCACGGATGATCAGGCTATTGATGGGTACCTAAAGTCTATTTACTATTTCTGAACTATAGGCAGTACGCTTCAAATGCTGCTAAGAAGTAAGAAAAGAAGAGGACTATAATCTTTCTAACAACATTTGATTGGCCACTACAGTACACAGATGGGGCATTGGCCTGAACCAAGAATATTTATGTCCTTGTCCAATATCCTATTTCCTGCTGTGGCCCATAAGGAGCTTTTGGGGAACCCCACCAGCAGAACATGAGGGCAATCATATTCAATTTTTTACCCGATGCTTCAGCCACAAAATGAAGAATGTTTCAATGATTAAAAGCTGACCATACTACACAGGCTGCAAAGAAGGTACACGTAGTCCTTGACTTATGACCATTCATTTAACGACCACTCAAATTATGACAATGCTGTAAAAAGTGACTTACAACCGGTCTTTGCACTTACAACCATCGCAGTGTCCCTGTGGTCATGTGATCAAAATTTGGGTGCTTGACAACAGGCATGTATTTATGACAGTTGCAGCATCCTGGAGTCACATGTTCACCATTTGCAACCTTCCCAGGGGGCTTGGGACAAGCAAAGTCAATGGGGAATGCCAGATTCACGTAATGACTGCAGTGATTTGCTTAACAATCACAGCAAAATATATCAGAAAATCAGGTGTGACTCATTTAATGACCACATCACTTAGTGACAGAAGTTCTGGTCCCAACTGTGGTCGTAAGTCGAGGACTACCTGTATCTTCATTGTTCAATTTCAGTTTCTTTCAGGGTCTCATTTTTCCATTACACATCTATTTGATAATGTCTTTTTTTTAAAGTTCACAGAAAACATTGTACATGATGATGTGTGCATTTCTATATATGAGAGTTTCATCTCATATATTTTGGAAGTAATTTTTCTTAATACAATATGGTTGATAAGTTATATAGGAAGTCCAATTCTAATAGCCCTGACCCTTCAGCACCTCAAGACCTACTGACCACAAGGGGGCAATAGGATATAGAAAGAGAATAAAGGATTTAATCTGCTTCCCCTCTTGGCCTATCACTCTGCCTGCTCCTTGTCTAACAGCTTGCTAATCTGAGGTCACTTCCTTTTACTCTTCTTCCCAGGAACACATCCATAGAGCACATGCTCTTGGATTCTCCTCTTCAGAGGATATAGCTGGTTAGCTGCTAGGTTTTCCCTAACCCTATATTGTATTTCCTGTAAATAAATCTCCTTTCTGCTATAGTTAATTTCACTAATCCTTGTTTAGTCATAGAGGGAATAGGGAATGGCCTTGAAGGAAAGGAGGAAGAGCTGCTACCAAGGCCACAGATGAGGGTCTTGAATCTGGGCCAAGAAAATAACAACTCGGACAAATATTTCCCTAGTCCACACAAAGATAAAGTAAAGGAGGGGGAAGCACATTCAGATTTGCAAGATTCTGTTACTATAGTTCTTATCATAAAAATAGTCCAGACTTATATGGCATTGGTTTCTTAGTCTGGTCTACCTTTCTGGGCTAACATTAAGTTATATTCCTGCTCTCAGGATTGGACATGTGCCCACAACGGCTTCAATCTCCAAGTTTTTTGTTTTGTTTTTTTGGCTTTTTAATATTTCCTATTTTAGTGGAGATCAGCATCACAAATCTGAGGTGAGTCATTCTAAGGATAAATTGATTTAGTTCAAATGTGCATGTATTAGCAAACCAGTACTGAAATGCAAACTGAATGTGCTTTGATTATAACCATCTGGCCCTTTTCTCTGAGCACAATTTTTCTCAAGAGAATAAGCACAAATACATATACACCACAGCATATTTATGTACCAATATATCATGTTTAGTGGTATTTGTAGCATCCCATTATAAATGATATACAAAGGTATTAATAGAAATATGGATAGCCTTGTTTTGTTTTCTTTTAATGATAAACCCACCAGTATCATGCCTTTAAAAAAAGCAATTGTATTTCCAGGGTTAAGTAACTCTTGTTAAGTATAGTTTGCAGTTATATGGCCCATTTTAAAACTTCTGGTTCCATATATGCCTGCAGAAAAGGTAATAACTATACTTAGAAGTAAATGACGCAACAAACATGTCCTTCAAATGAGTTTGAAAATGGAGATGGTGATTTCAGCTTCTTGAGCTCAATGCATCAATCTCAGCTCAATCTCTGCTAGGTTATTATCTCTGATAGCTTTGGCTAAATCCCTAAAGAAAATGCTTTATTATAATACAATAGTGTAATGTGTAAGAATTTCCTAGAAATGATTCCGTTGCCTTTTGATGATTTGCAACCGAAGGGTGGGAAAAGACTGTTGTAAATCATTTTCCACTTGCTGAAGAGCTCATTTAGAACTGCAGGTGATCTGAAAAGTAAAAGACATTTAACATCTGTTTCTCTTCTGCATCATATTTATTATGCTGAACTGATGACACATGTTGATTTCATCTAAGGTGTGAAATCTATGAGGAAGGAGTATTGCTTCTCTGCAACAAGTTCATCTGTCTTACTATCTGTCCCTTTTGGCCATGAAAGTGATGTAGAGCGTCTGTTGAATAAAGCAGATTATGAAACATTTTTGTTACTAGACTGTTCAGTAAGTTGATGGGATGGAAGAAAGCTTTGCAGACAGGTTAAGTAACTTTCATACAGCTGCTCAGTCTTATCC